AATATTTGAGCATCCAAAATTTGGATGTTCTTTGTTCAATCTTAGGTAATTCTTGAGGCACATATGGAGTGACTACGAGTTTTATTTTCATTTTCTCATCTGAGGTTGGTCACTAGTTTGGAGATACACCCACGTGGAATGTTTTTTTTTTTTTTTTGGGTAATTTAGTGGGGAAGACAGGCCCCTATCATTTTTATTTTTATTTTTTTTAAATGGATTAGGAGTTAGATTTTTTAAAATGTTAATGAGGTCCGTTTTTTTTTTTTTAAGTAGATCAGGAGTTAGATTTTTTAAAATGTTAATGAGGTAGTGTTAACGGTAGGAATGGAAACCACAATGTGGTGACTAGGTGTGGGGATGCTACTACCACAACTCCAGTCCTTTTCCTACACCCATGTAGATTTTTATTTATTATTATTTTTTTTTCCAGTCCTTTTCCTACGCCCATGTAGATTTTTTTTTTTTTTTGTTTGGTAATTCAGCGGGAGAAGACAGACCTCTATCGTTTATTCAATAGTTTAGGGAGTTACATTTTGAATATTAATTGGGTGTATCAACGGTAGGAATGGATACCACGATGCGTGTGGGGACGGTACGACCACAACACCAGCCCCTTTTACACCCATGTAGAGTTGAGTCCTTAAAAATACCAATAGATACAGTATTCACCCGAGGGAGCATGCAATTGTTGGAGCATATATTTTTTAGGTTCCATTTCACACGAGAGAAATAGTAACATGGACTGTCTCCGAGATTAACGCCACTTGATAGAGAGAGAGTCGCTACTTTAGAGAGAGAGAAAGAGATGACTGCCACTTCACGGACAGATGGTTGCCACTTTAGACAGAGATGATTGCTATGAAACTTCATCGAGAGATGGTTGCCACTTTAGAGAGAGAGAGAGAGAGAGAGAAGGGGAAGAATTAGAGGGATGATTGCTACTTTAGATAGAGAGGGAGAGAGTGAGACGCATGCGACTTGATAGAGAGAGATGAATGCCACTTCATGGAGAGATGGTTCCATTTTAGAGAGGGTGACGTTTGTATAAGCTTTCAACTTTATATTATTGGAGTAAGGTGTACTTCAAAACAATGTCGAAAAATGCACAAAGTCTTACGATAATATGGAAATTTATAGTTGTCTTTAACAATGAAATTAATGTTTCAGAAATTGTGATGATCAAACGTATTTACAAACACTTAAAAAATAGACCGTCCTGATAATGTCTTTGAAGATTAACTATTTATAGGATTAAAAATCTTTTTTTTAAAATGTTCATGCATCTCGAGATCAAGATGATCGATTTGAAGGTTTTCGATTACTAATTGCTTGTTTAAGTGTACTTTATCCGTACGGTATAAGGTTGAAACCTTATATGAATTTTTTTTTTCTTTTAAAAAGGGAGATGGTTGCCATTTTAGAGAGTGAAAAAAACTAGAGAGATGAATGGCAGTTTGTTGAGAGAGAGAAAGGTCGCTTTCTTACGCAAGAGCAGGAGGGACATTGGAGGGGAGTGGGAGTTTGAAGGGATGAGTAGTGCTTTGATTTTTACTCCCTTTGGGTAAGATTTGCATGATAATGTCGATGTCCATATCTACATGGATGACGTTTTTTGATGTGAGATGTGCAGCTTTCAGAGACACACGTGTGCTGCCTCTATTCCTAAGGATGGGTAGGCCTCTCACGCCCACACGAATGAGTTTTGTAGAGAGAGAAAGAGAGACCCCACCCCCTTTGTTTGGAGTAGAAGGGGTGTACTGTACTTCTTTTGTTTTCTCTCACATCCTTTACGGAATTATAATACCACTCGTGCTCCTTGTCTCCCATCCCATGCCTCATGTCTACACATTATGTGTGCTCATGCATTATGAATGGCATGGATGAGGCATCACCCATCATTCATGCAGGGGAAACATGGAGAAAGGACGCAGGAAGATAGTTACGTATCTTCTTGTAACGAGTGGTTTATATTTTGCACCTAGAGAGAATTTTTGTTATATATATATATATGGGTTTTTTTTTTTCAAAGTAAATTCCCAAGTAAACACTAGTTGAGGATGAAAATATGAGAAAAGTTAAAGGAAAATATTTATATGAGGTTACAACTTTACATTGTTGAGATAAAGAGCCCCTTAAAAATCCTTAGATTAAAGAAAAAGAAAATAACACTGTAAAGATTGAAAATTGTTATAACATTTCGTTTTGAAAATTTTTTACTTATATGTGGAATTGTTGTCGGAAAATTAGTGGGTGAAATAGGTGCAGAAGATGGAAAATTAGTGGGTGAAATAGGGGCAGAAAATTAGAAGCTCAAACTCATAGTGTTTTCGGGCATGTAGGAGAGCTATTTTAAGAAAATATTTATCCACCCGAGCTTGAAACTCACACACTAGACATCAGAGTCTTGATAGTTTAGAGAGAGAAAGAAATAACATTGAATAGAAAGAAATATGTTATCCCACAAGTTTTGCTCTCTGAAATTACAAAGAAAGAGAGAAAGAGACAAAATCAAGTAGAAAGTGAGAGGTTATCCCACTGGTTTTGCTCTTTAGGATTATAGATAATGGTGTTTTGAAAGAGATGCAAAATGGCTGGAAAACTCTATCTCGTCTGGGAAAAAATAACCCAGCTTATAGAGATCACATGCATTTATTGTAGTAGTAGTTACATGTATATCAACAGCTATAAGTTACATGTAGTCCATTAACTTACTTGATGGTTGATGTTACAGTCTCATTTTGCCTCTATTTCATCAAGTGCAAAGTACGCGTGTGTCGAGCACATGAACTCTCTCACCTTTGTACCAAGAATATAATATATTGAAATACGTGCTCTTAATAACAACTAAATAAACTATCTATTCTTCAATGTGAGACTCAAACTCACGGCTTTCTCTCTGTCAAAAACAATTTAAAAAAGAACCACAAAACCATATTGTTGTTTTGAAATATGCACAAATATTTTTCAAACAAAAAATACTAACAACTGAAAGTTTGATCTTCTTGTTTTGAGAAAGAAATGCATTTAGGAAAGGGGCTGGGTTACGGTGGTAGCACCCCCAATACCTAGCTACCACGATGTGGTTTGAATTTTGTTGACATCACTTACTAACACCTTCAAAAAAAGCTCTAATTTATATGAAAAAAAGGATAGCAGCCTGCCTTCCCAAAAAAAAAAAAAAAAACAAAAAACAAACTGAACGAATCAAATGAAATCAACTTTAGTGCATACAAATCCCCTTCCAAGGCATGTTGTACTTTTGTTAACAAACTACCTAACTATGTGATTGAGTTTTGAGGGTGTTGTGGGTAAAGTAAACAATGAAATTGGACTTCGATTGCTTAGGATCCTTTCTGGTCTTTGGTCCACTGCTGGAACAGAATGAGTGAGGTCAAGGCTTCAATTTCCAAGTTGCTGCTTCACAGAACCTTCTTAGAGAGAAAAAGTGAGATGATTAGCAATGCTTGGTTTATAATATGGACCTTTTAAAACAATTCCTCGATATATTATTCTCCAGATACAGAGAAGTTTGCAGTTATGCACATTCAATAGAATAGTTGTTTAGAGAGAGGAGAGAGAGATTTTGAGATGATTAGGTTTGATACAATTATAAAATGGGCCCAGCAACCAATTCCTAATTTTCTAGAGAGAGAGAGAATGATTATTGTTAGCCTTTTGGGTAGGTGTTTTGCCAGTTTTTTAAAGTACACCGCACAATAAACCTTCTAACCCAAATGTTAAACTCGAGCTTAACCTTGAGGATGAATCGGGCCATTTCGGACCTATCCGTACGAAAATTCCCTTATTTTTTTAACCCACTGTTTTTCTCTCTCTCTCTCTCTACAGAGAGAAACCAATCTCTCTTTCTCTCTCTTATTGTGAGAAATTGAATTGAACATTCTCGCCACCAGTTGCAAATCAACTGTCTAGCGTTCAGCCAACATTAAGAATATGTGGAGACCAAAACCCTAAAATTCTAATTGGACGTGTCACCGGGGGTTAACCTATTTAACCCGGGTTAGTGGGGGTGTTAGTTAGTTAGGGTTTAGAGACAGGTGTCGCTTTTGTAGGATACAAAAAAAAAGCGGGGTTTTGACGGGTTTGGGGTGTCAATAATTTGACGGGTAAGGAAGGAGCGGCGCACATGGGGTAGAGAGAGAATGGTGGAGTTTTTAGAGAGAGAGAGAAAGGGCGAGGGACATGGGAGAGACAGGGGCACATGGGAGCGGACCCGCCGCTAATGAATCTTGGCACATGGACTTCCCCCGGGTTGACTTAACCCGCGTAGGGATCCACTCTCTCTCTCTCTCTAAACCTAAAATACATGCACAATCCTCCCTTTCTCTCTCTTCAACACGCGATTACTTGTTAACAGAGCCCCTTTTTCTCTGTATCATACAATGCACACTGCTCATAAAGTAACTCCTCAACATGCCTCTTTCTCTCTCTACAATCGCTTTTAAATAACTTCACTCCCCATAAAATTTTACCTAAACAAGTACGATTGAGTTTTCTCTCTCTAAAAATAGATGAAAAAACCACTCTCTTGCTCCGACTGAGTTTTCTCTCTCTAAAAATAGATGAAAAAACTACTCCCTTGCTCCGACACAAGCTACATTATCATTTCTCTCTCTCTCTCTACCTCGCCATGAACCTCATTACATAAACAGCCACACAAACACCATATATTTAAGTGACCAAAATTTTAGATATCGAATCTTAGAGAGAGAGAGAGAGAAAGAGAGTTCATTGTACACAGACAGATGATAAAAATCTGGAGCAAATAAAGAGAGATCTCAAAAATCAATGCTAGCTAGCTACAGTTCATTGTACACGGCCATCAGAAATCTCTGATCGCTAATGCCCCTTTTGGTTGTGCGTGAAAATATACTTCAAATCACACTCTCTCTCTCTAGCTAAAAACCACATTCTCTCTCTCTCTCTCTCTACATAATCATTCGCTCCCTTACATCCACCTCCATTCGCCACGTGTCCCCTCCTGGTGACCCCCCTGAACTATACAAATACTCCCCCTCTAAACTCCCCCACAATTCCTTCTCTTCACCACCTTTCCCAACTCTAAATAATCACCACCCGAAACCAAAACCCATTAAACTAATCCCAAATCATAGAAGAAATACAACGAAGAAGAAGAAAGAAGCAGAAGAAGAGGAAGAAAAAAGGAGAAGAAGCTCTCTTTGTTTGTTTTGCAGAGATTTAATGGCGACTGATCTGAGTCTTAACTTTGAGGCGACGGAACTCCGTTTGGGGCCGCCGGGAAATGGAGATTCCGCCGGTAAGGGTATCGGGAAGCGGGGGTTTTCAGAGACGGTGGATTTGAAGCTCAACTTGATGGAGCCGGCACCGCTGGATGTCCCCGCCAGTACCGTCAAGGATACGGGCGTGGATCTGACGGAGAAGCTACGTGGTAGTAACGCCGTTGCGGATCCGGCCAAGCCTCCGGCGCATAAGTAAGTGAATTGACCAACCTGCTCCTTCGTATCTTTGAAATGATGAAAATGCAACTTTGTTTTATGAGGAATAATTACAGTTTTGCAACTATTTGTTCTGATGACTTTAATTTTCTTTCTAGTCATAACATTTTTCCATAATATGATAAGTTTAATTTCCTTTCTAGTTATAACATTTTTCCATCATATTGATGAGTTTGATTTTCCTTCTCGTGATAACATTTTCCCATCATGCTAGAGCCTTTTTTTTCAAACTATAAAATTGTTCATTATGCTGGTGCATAATTTTCTTTTAATTAGGACTTTTTATTATTCTTATTTAGTTTTGTTTGAATTTTTAAGCATGGTTTTCTTTAGAGAAAAAAATTTCTCCATCACCTATCATTGGTGTAATTTTTGGTTGCATGATGTCCATTTTTAATTCTAAATGATCAAGACGGAATTTTATGTTTTAAGGCTTAATTAGTTTATTGGCAGGGTAGTTATATTTCATAATTTCTACATACCCATAAAAGAAAGATAATTTCTCTCCCCTTGTTAGTTTTTTAAATTAAAATTAAGGTGCAGCATAAACATGGTTCGAGTTATAAGGGATTGGGAGCATTAGCGCATGTCATTTGCGTCGTGGGTTTAGTAGACATACAATTATTACTTAACCAAGGGCATAGCGTTTTTTATTGTTGAAAACTAAGGACTAATTATTGAGTCCTATAAATTTTCAAAAGATCGGAAGTTTCATGCCATTTACACATAGATAAAGGTATTTAAAGCATTAATTTTGTTAATCGAATTTCTGGATATTAGAGGGTTCTAGGCTCAATTTAAAAGGACTCGGGTGTGACTCTCTAAGGTCCCCAAGCCCGATTCAGGCAACTCAGCCAAGTCAGTTAGAGTCATGGCTGCGTCCTAAAAACAATAAGATCCTGGGAGGGCAAGACCCGGCCGATTCCCATGATTTTGCGTACAAACTCAGCGGTATGCTGCATCAAAGTTGAACTTGTCAAGTTTTCAGACACCGAATAAACCACTATGATACCTTTGACAATAATGATATCTAAAATTCTCATGAAATAAATCATCATCATCATCAAAACTTTTTTTCAACTAATTGGGGTCTCGCCTGTTTGGTAGAACAAATGACTAATGTTATTTTTCCTTTGGTGCTCAATGTAGGGCACAAGTTGTAGGGTGGCCACCAGTTAGGTCATTTAGGAGAAACATGTTGGCTACTCAATCCTCAAAAGGAAACAACCGAAGTGAAGAGGGGGAGAAGAATGCAGGGGCCACATATGTGAAGGTTAGCATGGATGGTGCCCCTTATCTGAGGAAGGTGGACCTAAACATGTACAAGAGTTACCAAGACCTCTCAAACTCTCTAGAGAAAATGTTCAGCTGCTTCACCATGGGTAAACTAAGCAAGATGCATTTTCTTTTGTCTTATTAATTTTCAGTTTTATTTTAAAAAATAAATAAAGGCAAATGATTGAAAATGAGTTTATAAATAAAAGACTAATATCTCCACATGGGGCTTAGCCTCTAGGCTTGATGTGTGTGTGAGAGAGATATGAAACCTCCATGAATCTTCCCTCACCCCATTTAATATTTTTATAATCAGCAAAAAGTTAATCTCCCTCATCATGCCCATATTATTAATAGAAGAAAATGGGCCCCTTTTTTATCATTTTCAAAACAATCCATTTATTTTTCATTTCTTGAAAACCTTGGGGGTTGGTGGCTTATTGATTTTATTTTAACTGTATAAATAAAAGAAGATGGTTTCCTAGTTCTTATTTAATGTTTGCTAGCTTTTTATTTTCCTTTAAGAAAAAGCTTTTTTATCAATTTTCCTCACTTTTTCTTTTCAGGTCAATGTGGGTCTCAAGGAATTAACTTCTTGAATGAGAGCAAGCTCATGGACCTCCTCAATGGCTCAGAGTACGTGCCCACATATGAAGATAGGGATGGGGACTGGATGCTCGTTGGAGACGTCCCATGGGAGTAAGCCCTAATACCCTTTTACTAAGGGTAAAATAGTAATTTTTCCCATGTCAATTTTTCAATTTAAATTAGTTTGGGATATGGGAAATCTCTCTCCAGGGATGATTTGCATTGAATAAGCTGCTTTCACATGTTTGTTTCATGCGAAAATGGTGCGATAGAGCAGAAATTTTCATCTATGATCTCTTGGGGAAAAAAAAGAAAGTATTATATTTTGCAAGGTTTTAAGGCAATTTCTCGAAAATCTCTCTTTTAGAGTGATATTTCAAACAAACAAAATAATCTGTTGTGGAAAGTGTCTAACAATGGGAAATATGAAACAAAAAAGCTTCAAAATAGTGGTGGAGCTAGATGCTCTAACAATTATCACGATAATGGAAGGGATCAATAACATAAGAAATCCTAGATGCTCTAACAATTGTCACGATGGTGGCAGAAATATTACAGCTTGCTACTATAATTATCGACAGATTCCTATCATAGAACTACCCAAACTCTCCTCTAAAACTTTTTCTTCTTTCCAAAATGCCATAAAGGGACAATTTAGATATTCAGTCAACCAGGTTGGGGCGTTATAGTCATCTGCATGTGAGAGATAAGCATGGCCTCACCGTTTGTTTAACTCTATCTAATGGGTCTGATGGTGCCACGTGTCATGTAGGAAGATGAAAATAGTCGAGAGATTTATACTCTTTTAACATATTTTATTCTTGTTTTAGAAATTTGATTACACGTTATTAAATTTACTTATTTTTGCATGCAGGATGTTCGTTGATTCATGCAGGCGTTTACGTATAATGAAAGGGTCCGAGGCCATTGGACTTGGTTGGTTTCTCCGTCCATTTATTTCTTTTTTATATTATTTTAATATATTCCATTATTTATTTTGGGGGATAGTTAAAGCCCAAAGGTTTCGGTTTAAGCGGCAGGATTTCTGATGAAGGCACGAAATTTCGGCTTTTTATTGCTTTAAGGAAAAGTGAATGCATATTATTCGCCATGAAAAATGCCGAAATTTTGCAACCCGCTCCAAATTTTCAGCCAAAATAATGGATTGTGTCGGCCTTTATCAGACACATTTTATCCTTCAAATTTATGGGGTAGCCAAATTTTGGCTAATATTGATGCATCTTCCAGAATTTCCTGAACAAATTATCTTTTATCTCTTCTTAATTAATTTCTACACATTCATTTTAATATTATAATTCATGTACATAACTTTTTAATATTAAAATATGTTTTAAATAAGTATTTGATTTGATTTTTTTAATTTTTCAGCTCCAAGGGCGGTGGAGAAATGCAAGAACAGAAGCTAAAGTAAGGGAGAGGGCAAGGCAACCAGCTCTATCTATAAAAGAAGAGAGAGAAAGAAGAAATCAATGGTGGAGATGTGTGTGTATCATGGTGTGTTTGTTGTTATGTTAAATTAAAGATGTTGGGTTATTTGTTATGGACACTAAACAATAACATTTGGGATATTAAGACTCCTTACAGTTGTTTCTTAAGAGTAGTAGTTCTGTCTCTCTTCATCCACTTCCATGTAAGGAAAATGAAAAACTTATGTGGTTCTGTATTGTTCTATGTTATGTGTTGATTGGGTTAATAAATCGTCGATGCGGTGTGTTTTCTCTTCGGTTTTTCCTCTTTCATTATCTAGAGTGTCTATTTTTAGGATTTTAATATGTTTACAGATCTACTTGATTTGAACCGTATTTAGTGTTTAAAATTACTGAATTAGATATGATAATTATCAGGCCATCTCAAGAATTTTTAAACCAAAATTATGCCTTATGAAAACATTTGGAGGTGTACCTTATTTTCATTATTTAAAGTTTATACAAATCACACCCTTTTTAGAAATGATCCAAAAAAGAAAAAAAAATGTAAAAATAAGTATTCATGGCCAAAACACTTTTTCGTCTTTACCAAAATGATGGAAAACATAAAAAAAACATATTACAAATAATTTTTTCTGAATTTTTTTAAAGATTTTTTTTAAGATCCTGAACTTGACCACCAAAATCGGGCTTAATGGGACTTGCCCAGGCCGATATGCCTGTTTTTCCAAACATTGCGTGGCACCATTTAGAGGGAATTTCTTTGTCCCATTCTTGACATATTTTGGTTTCTTCAACATAAATATAGCAAGAATACAACATAAAAAAACAATAATTCAATAATAAAAGGACTAAAATACCACACAAGATTCAGGGGTATATTTTATTTTTTTAGACCCATGTGATTATGAGAAGTATGTATGTTCCAAATTTGAACTTAATCCAATACAATATAAAAATATGAACATGAAATACCTATATATCCTAAAATAATGGGACCTAAGCGTAAAATATGAAATATCTCTAAAAATAAAATGACATTTTTTGGATCTTTTCTAGTATTTTTCTTGTTTTATGATTGGATAAGTTGGCTCGGTTTTAGGCCAACCATGTTCTTTTCACATAGTTGATAATTGCCTTTTCACATGTTCTTTTCACATGTTCTTTTCACATAGTTGATAATTCTAGGAATGCTACATCAAAGGCCCGATTCCTACCGAGGGTGGGGGCCCTCTCCGCACTATTCACCCAAAAAAAAAAAAAGATAATAAGCTCCAAATTCATCAAAATAATTGGTTAGAAACTTTCAAAGGTAGATTAGTGTCACACTGTCACTACATGACTCGTTGGATTTGCTTGACTTGTTTGACTACTTTAAGACCTCTCAATATGAAAACAATTTTTTTGTCACAACTATTTCACTATTTCCCTTTACTTAAAATGAAGGAATCCTCCATATCTTTGACCTCTGATTAAAGGCCTTTGGTCTACATAGCTAAGGCCAAATTTCCTTTAATATTCAATCAAAAGATAGACAACAAAGCATACTTTACTTTAAATAGGCAAACCATATGATATGATCTTCCACCGACCATTAAAGAGAGAGAGAGAGCTAAAAATATCAGAAAGCCAGCTTTCCACTATGCTCCATGAGATATGATGATCCTTTACAATCTCACATTGATTTCCATGGTTGTGATCCAATGAAGGTGTGAAGAAAAATAAAGCTGAATTTGCTTTAAACAGGCAGCCAAGCCATGAGATAGTGAGCAAAGCCAAACTTTCTTTATAGGAGCAGCCATGAGAGATGGGTTTCCATGTCACCAATACGATAGAGTAATAAAGCCAAATTTGCATTCAACGGACAGCCATATAGTAATTGATTTTCCACGATCTTCCATGGATTTCCCTTCCTAATGCATGAAAGTCATAGAATCTTAGTGTAGGCCCAAATTTGTCATAAAAATGGTCAAAAATTTCCACCTATGCAGGCTTTGCCAATTAGTGACAAATAGAACTGCTTCAAACCAATCTAAATATAGAGATAAATTTATGGAATAATGAATCTAAAAACCAAGGAAAGCCAATAAAGTAAAAAGAAAGATAAGAATTTAATATTAGGAAGCATAGAACGTTGTTCGCTGATCATTAAATTGATGTCACATCGAAATTCTCTCGAATGCATTCATTTTAAATTCTATCCGTTCCAGTCTTACCACTCATCCATCTCAACTACACTCATTCTATAGATATGTTGGTTCTTGACCGTCCAACGTTCCACTCTAGAAAGCAAAGCTTGTCTCACAGTTATCGTATAAAACTTCCCCTCCCGCTTCATTGCTATATGTCGATTACATAAAACTCCATTTTCGCTATTATATATCAACCCAAAATAAGGTTGAATACTATGAGTTGGTTAATATTTTGTATCATTTTACTAGGGTCTTGAAATTTTAAGTTTTTATCTTTTTTTCATCTTGCCATAATTCAAAAGTTAAACTTTCAAATAATCTAAAACAAAAAACCCTAAGCGTTAAGACAGAAAGTCCAACTTTCTAACTACCTAAAACACACAAAAGATTGCTTATAGATGGTCTAGATATCCAACTCTTAAAACTATCCAAACGCATTAGGCCTTTGGGCGGTCCAAAAATCGAAATTTGAAAAGCGGGTCAAATGGAATATAAAACTTAAAAATGAGAACCTTAGAACCACCTAAAATATGGACAATACCGAATCTCATTTTGTGTCCATAAATTTGCCTGTCTCTTTTTAATTTATTTGAGGACAGGCTCTGTGAGGGGCTTTATTGCATTTTGCGAAAAGATTTCTTATTTTTGCGGGAGTATACCATCTGTGATACCTCGAACCGGACAACCAACCTGAAAGAAAAAGAAAATTTAACTCTTCCTTTTTATTTGCCTAAAAAAATACCCAAAATTGAACCATCCAAACCAACCTGAAAGAAAAAGAAAATTTAACTCTTCCTTTTTATTTGCCTAAAAAAATACCCAAAATTGAACCATCCAATTTTTGGAGGGAATGATTTAAATGTTCAAAAACTCAAAATCCTTTTTTTTTTTTTTCCGAAAATAATCATATAATTATACTCGCTCTTGTAATGTAGGCATTGCATACGGAACTCAATTGTTTTCGTATATTCCATGCAACTAGAAAATCCACTAAGTTGTGAATAAGCATGTAAATGATTTTGTGTGGGCAATAGAGAAATTTCTTGAAGAATTTGGGAAGCCGTCCTATGTTTATGTGTCAGCTGAAGCCCCTGTTCACATGTGACCTCCATCAAAAATTCACTTTTTAAGTATGGGATTTGGATCCGAAGGTTAACAATTCAATAATCTCGGCAACCACGATCATGACTATGAAAAAAAGAAATTAAAATTTGCGCTATAAAAATAGTTTAATTAGAAATTTATTTTCACCCCATTCATTTTAATTCTGTGCAGATCATCCAAACTGTACTTTCTTGAAGCTATTAATGCATAAAACAGGAGTGCGTTTTTAAGATGTGTTTCATATCCTAAATTCATAAAAAATCAGGGTGGACGCGAGCACTCACAATCAAATTAATTTCCGATGTTTTAACTTTGGGATATCACAATGCAATCGTTTTCTCTCCCCAAATATCGTTGCTCTAGAAGGCCTAGGTTGTGAATATGCGTAGGATCGAATTTAATTTGTGTAAGCAATGGAGAAGATTTTTGAGACAGTCTTATCCTGGTAAAATTGGGAACTAACTAATGTGTTATTTTGAATTTTAGATTGTAGCAATTTTTTCCTTTTTGGCCAAAATAGCCTTCCAGGTGGCAATGGACCTGGACCGGACCTAGGATCTAACAAGTAAACCAGGCCTGGACGACCCAGATCCAGAAACTGGACTGGTGCGTCAAGTCCAAGTCCAAATCTTGGACCCAAACACTATCGGGTCCAAATCCTGGTCCAGGCCCCACATTATACTTTCAGGTCCTAATTTATGAAATATATTTAAAGATATAGATATTTTGATTTTTGAGTGGGTATGGGTTTGGTCCCACATTATATTTTTAGGTCCGGGTCTGGGTCCAGTGACTTTGGGTTTAGTCCTGTCCAAGTCCCATAATATTTTTTTGGATTTAATCTGACGACCCCTAAATAGCTTCTCTCTAGAAGGTTTCCAAGATTTATCTTTTCTCTTTTTACGCTTTCACGTTTGAGAGATTTTCACGACTTTGAAAGGTCGCGCACACTTATTTTAGCAGACATGTTGAAACGAACATAACCGGCCCACTTACTACCCTAAAACTATGGACTAAATAATAGGACTTAGGTGGCGTTATACAGCCTTTGAAACTCAAGATACGCATGGCATAAAAGGAAAGGAAAGGAAAAAGTTGAAGAATTGAAGACTTCACACAAGAAAAAAAGAGCTGGGTGTTAGAAAATTAATTTAAAAGGAAAAGATGAGTTTTTAGGGAGAAAAAGGAAGGAGATAAACTAAAAGCATGACTCTTGTGAAGGATTGTGTGTAGCCGCCTGTTGTCTATAAAGTTCAAGCTTTCATTTGGTTGGTTGGCTTTGCAAGATAAAGTTCTAACAGTTGAGAACCACATTAAGAGAGGTAAGTTTTTTCTTCTAATATTTGTTTCATGTGTAAGAGAGATGAAGAATACATGTCTCGCTTACTTTTGCATTACCCCTTTGTTACTGAAATTTGGAATTGGATTTTGAAACTGTTAGGCATTTTGGTGATGTCACCAAATAATGTTATGGACAATTTAACTCGGAAAATTCTCGGAAGGCCGGTTTCATGGGAGATTTGGAAAGAGCAAAATAGGACTTTTGAGGGAAAATCTTTGCCTTTGGAGAGGGTCTTGAGTATTATTCAAAGCACTGTTTGGTGCCGGTTGTCATTACTTGAGGAACCTTGGGGTCTTTCGGCGATCAATATGTTATTGAATTTATCAAACCTATTGAATTTGGGGATTGTTAGATGCTGATGGAAAGGTAGGTAGGTACCTCCCATTGTAGGTTGTTACAAACTTAATTTTGATGGGAGTTCCTTTGTAACCCAAGCATAACTAGAATTTGGAGTAGTGAGAGATTGGAATACCAATGTCCTTTTATATTATGTTGGACCGTGTAGAAATACTACAGCCAATCGTGCAGAACTAGTCTATCTTTTATAGGGTTTGAAATTTTTTAAAGAAAAATTGGTCGAGCATTTAATTATGGTCGAAGGAGGCTGTTTGAATGTTATCAGATAGTGTAATAAGGAGCAAAGAGTACCTTGGCACT